TCGGAACTTACGAAACACTTCTCTGTCGTCGTACGTATCGAAGGAATTAGTACGGTCAATGATAGTACATAACAAGATGGGCCACTTCTCTCTTTGAGCCAATTAAAAAAGTGTCCTCAAAATTTGGTGGCGCCCTCTTCACAAAAGCGCACTCTTTGCGAACAGAGTTACCCTACTTGAGTTTTTTAAAAATCAAAGTGAAACTAGCATGTTTTGGGATAAAATTCGGAAGAACGCTTTTTTAAAATGGTTACGCTGACAAAAAACCTCTTCCGGAGGAAAGGGTGATGGTTTTCTTCGTTTAATTTGACTTTAGAATGAAAGGCGAGAGGTCATTAAAATAAAAAAAACCCCTAAAACTACGCACTGAACGTACCCGAACTGCTGATGAACAGCAGTCGATCTGCGCACGCAAGGAGGTGCTATTCCTATTCTTCTTCTGAAAAAACGAAAGAGAGCTTCAAAACAGACTGCAGCGCCATCTGAAGCAAAGAGCATACTTCCTGCGGACACTTTTTTGGCTGAGTGGCCCATCTTGTTATGTACTATCATTGGTACGGTCCCTGAAAATCCTTTTTCTTCGTAGAAGACGCAGCTGTCATGCTTGGAAAAACAAAAGTGCAGCAATATTTACTCACGTTTAGGCCCGCTATCGGACCCCAGAGGTGCGATAACTTAAAACGCGAAAATCCGTACAGGATAGGCTAACCAGATTAACCTGAATACAGATTTTTCCAGCCTAAACGCCCGTATAGGGGATAAACGCGGTCAGTCGACCATACGGACCGACGTGAATACAGGTGAAAAACAAAATCACTGCATGCGAGATAAGATGTCTCCACAAAACCCTTAACATAAAAAGAAGAGACAAGCAGGGAACAGAAGAAGTAAAAGCATTTACTGGCACTGAGTCCTGCCTGCATTTAATAGGAAAACCGCCCAGAATAAAAAGGTTTGGCCACATGTTACGAAGAGGTGGATCACGCAACAGATGGACTGAGGGAGTCAAGGAAGCCCTAAGAAATAATCATATCCCAGTTGAAAGACCTGCTAGAGCTGGCCTCCCATAGAAAACTGCACCTTCCCTCGACGTTTAACGGCAACAGAGGATGAAAAAGTTAAAGTAGAAGTAAAAGTATAGTGCTAAAAAGGTCGTCACAACTGTTGAATTTTTATTCCTCCCCCCCCTCCCCAGGTTCGTCCTATTGTTAACCAATCCCAGCCGATTGTCGTCTTGGTCTCCTTCGAGTTGGTCTCCATCGTGGAGGTGGATGACGTGAGCCAAAAGTTCCTGTGTAACGGATTTCTTTCTTTCATCTGGCATGACTCCGTGAGTTAATCAGGTTGCCACAATTCACATCATCCTCATCATCGTCATCGTCATCATCATCATCATCATCATCATCATCATCATCATCATCATCATCATCATCATCATCATCATCATCATCATCATCATCATCATCATCATTTATCATCATCACATCATCATCATCATCATCATCATCATCATCATCATCATTATTATTATTATTATTATTATTATTATTATTATTATTATTATTATTATTATTATTATTATTATTATTATTATTGTTATCATTATTATTATATTGTTATTACTATTATTATGATTATTATTATTATTATTATTATTATTATTATTATTATTATTATTATTACTATTGTTATTATTATTATTATTGTTATCAATATTTAAAAAAAATCCTACCTCGTCTCACCTCGCCTCAAGGCATGCTCAAATCTGTATCTGAGTGCTCCGTCACTCAGTTTGTATGATGCTAGACTACAGATTGAATGGCCCTAATTCGAATCCCAGACTGGGCGTTTTGGAAATTATGCCGCTTTGTGGAATTTTAAGGGCTTTCAGCGCATTTCGCTGGGTCATGTTAGAGACAGACGTAATATTAGGAGGACCTGCCACGTATATACCACGACAGTGTTGATGGGAGAGCTGATTCTTCACGAACGTAGCGGACTCATATGTCCGACCAGCATCAGACCAAAGGAAATATTGCAACACATTTAGAACCATTCTACACATACCAGCCAACCCCTCCCCCGTAAAACAAAACAGCAAAAAACAAAAAACCAACAAATTACATATTATATCATGGCATTTCTGTTTAAATCTGCTTTTCTAAGTTTCAGATTAAGGCATTATTATATTATTATTATTATTATTATTATTATTATTATTATTATTATTATTATCATTATTAGTATTATTATTATTAATATTATTATTATTATTATTGTCATCATCATCATTATAATAATAATAATTATTATTGTTATTACTATTATTATTATTATTATTATTATTATTATTATTGTTGTTGTTGTTATTGTTATTGTTATTATTATTAATATTATTATTATTATTAAATATTATTATTATTATTACTCTTCTTCTTCTTCTTCTTCTTCTTCTTCTTCTTCTTCTTCTTCTTCTTCTTCTTCTTCTTCTTCTTCTTCTTCTTCTTCTTCTTCTTCTTCTTCTTCTTCTTCTTCTTCTTCTTCTTCTTCTTCTTCTTCTTCTTCTTCTTCTTCTTCTTCTTCTTCTTCTTCTTCTTCTTCTTCTTCTTCTTCTTCTTCTTCTTCTTCTTCTTCTTCTTCTTCTTCTTCTTCTTCTTCTTCTTCTTCTTCTTCTTCTTCTTCTTCTTCTTCTTCTTCTTCTTCTTCTTCGTTCTTCTTCTTCTTCTTCTTCTTCTTCTTCTCTCTTC